AATCTAACTAATCCTCTCACAAGATGGCGATCAAAATGGCGTCGAAATTACCGTACAACTATATCCCAGCAATTATGTTCACACTTAAGGAGATAATTTATTGTAAGAACATGTATGAGAATCCATCTTCCCGTCATGCCTTAAGTGAACGATAGGTTAAAGTCCTCTCCCGTCTCCTCCAGTTAAGAGTAAAAAAGAAAAACAAAATTGACTGGGAGGCTTTACTTAGTGATTATTAAACGAATGAATTATTATTATTTCCAGGTTATATAATGGTGGTCGTCCGGAGTATTTGAGTACTAATCGCCACTGTTCTGGGGTTGGGTAAGAGGGGGGAGGGGATGGGAGGGGGGGGGGGAGAGGGATTAAGAGGGGTGGGGATGGGCAGGTGTGTGTGGGTGGTTATTTTAGCGTCCCAGTGATGGTCAATAGTGATGATGATGACGATTAGATCAGTGAGAATGATGATTATGATGGAGGTAATTATTATTATTATTATTATTATTATTATTATTATTATTATTATCATTATTATTATTATTATTATCTGATCTGATTTAAAAGTTGTGTTAAAGAGAGTAATAACACACACACAAACAGACACAGTGTGGTTGCCCGGGTGTCTCCCTCACTACTGGAATGTAATAACTTACTCTTGTGCTGACCTGGACACACACTCTCTCTCTCTCTCTCTCTCTCTCTCTCTCTCTCTCTCTCTCTCTCTCTCTCTCTCTCTCTCTAATAAAACACTTTAATAAAACATCCACTCATACATAATACATCCACTCATATATCATACATCTACTCATACATAATACATCCACTCATACATCATGCACTCACTCATACACACTTGACGAACACACTTTAATAAAACACTTGACGAACACACTTTAATAAAACACTTGATGAACACACTGTAATAAAACACTTGATGAACGCACTTTAATAAAACACTTGACGAACACACTGTAATAAAACACTTGATGAACACACTTTAATAAAACACTTGATGAACACACTGTAATAAAACACTTGATGAACACACTTTAATAAAACACTTGATGAACACACTTTAATAAAACACTTGACGAACACACTTTAATAAAACACTTGAACAACACACTTCAATAAAAACACTTTATTAAAACACTTGAGCAACACACTTTAATAAAACACTTGAGCAACACCCTTTAATAAAACACTTGAGCAACACACTTCAATAAAAACACTTTATTAAAACACTTGAACAACACACTTTAATAAAACACTTGAGCAACACCCTTTAATAAAACACTTGAGCAACACACTTTAATAAATCACTTGACGAACACACTTTAATAAAACACTTGAGCAGCACACTTTAATAAAACACTTGAGCAACACCCTTTAATAAAACACTTGAGCAGCACACTTTAATAAAACACTTGAGCAGCACCCTTTAATAAAACACTTGAGCAACACCCTTTAATAAAACACTTGAGCAGCACACTTTAATAAAACACTTGAGCAGCACACTTTAATAAAACACTTGAGCAACACCCTTTAATAAAACACTTGAGCAACACACTTTAATAAAACACTTGAGCAGCACCCTTTAATAAAACACTTGAGCAACACCCTTTAATAAAGCACTTGAGCAACACACTTTAATAAAACACAGCTGAGCAACACCCTTTAATAAAACTTGCAGCAACACACTTTAATAAAACACAGCACCCTTTAATAAAACACTTGAGCAACACCCTTTAATAAAACACTTGAGCAACACACTTTAATAAAACACTTGAGCAACACCCTTTAATAAAACACTTGAGCAGCACACTTTAATAAAACACTTGAGCAAAACACTTTAATAAAACACTTGAGCAACACCCTTTAATAAAACGCTTGAGCAACACCCTCTAATAAATCACTTGAGCAACACCCTTTAATAAAACACTTGAGCAACACACTTTAATAAAACACTTGAGCAACACACTTTAATAAAACACTTGAGCAGCACACTTTAATAAAACACTTGAGCAACACACTTTAATAAAACACTTGAGCAACACACTTTAATAAAACACTTGAGCAACACACTTTAATAAAACACTTGAGCAACACCCTTTAATAAAACACTTGAGCAACACACTTTAATAAAACACTTGAGCAACACCCTTTAATAAAACACTTGAGCAACACCCTTTAATAAATCACTTGAGCAACACACTTTAATAAATCACTTGAGCAACACCCTTTAATAAAACACTTGAGCAACACACTTTAATAAAACACTTGAGCAACACCCTTTAATAAAACACTTGAGCAACACACTTTAATAAAACACTTGAGCAACACACTTTAATAAATCACTTGAGCAACACACTTTAATAAATCACTTGCCTCGTCTTTCGTCAACAACTTATGTCACTTAACACTTTTATTTTGTATTTATTTTCTTAAATTAACTTAAAAAAAAACAGGAGCCTGGTTATCCTCTCTCTCTCTCTCTCTCTCTCTTTTCATTAATCTTTTTCTTCTGTATTATTCTCTGCTTTTCTTTCGCACGATATAATAAAAGAGAGAAAGCAAACAACTTTAGGAGAGAGAGAGAGAGAGAGAGAGACTTAAATTATAATTCCATTGGCAAATTATAATTTTAAAAGACAATCGATTATATTTAAATTAACAATAACCAATTAGACCAATTTAATTTATTATTTAGTAATCAGATAATCATGACTGAAACAATTATGGCAGGTGAAATAACTAATTAGCAATATCAGGTGACTTCACAGGTAGAGAAGAGAGAGAGAGACAGACAGAATGACTGACACACACACACACACACACACACACACACACACACACACACACACACACACACACACACACACACACACACACACTTAGATAAAATAAATTATACATTATTCAGTTTGATAATTCCCACACACACACAAAATAGTCTAATTAAGCTAATGAGTTATGGCTCTAAATAACACAAAGAGAAGTGTCGTATTTAAGCTCTCTTTTACGGCTCTAAATTCACCCACACACACACACACACACACACACAGCAGTAGCGTGGCATTAAGCTCTGTGCTATAAAGTAAATGATCCAGGGTATAGCTTTGAAGTTAGGAGAGTGTTGCCAAAGGTGAGGTCATCTATTATAACACAGCCTCCCCCCCCCCCCCCCCCGTATTAAAAAGATTATAAAGAAGAAAAAATTTTACTTTTATGTGTGGGTGTTTATATTTATTTGGAGAGAGAGAGAGAGAGAGAGAGAGAGAGAGAGAGAGAGAGAGTTAAAACAGCACGTTCTTACTGGCGACATACTTACATATACTGTACTGTTATATAATCGTTAGTTAATAAGTTTTAATAATTTGCATATTTTGATACATTAAGAAAAGCCTTAATCCTGTACCAATTTAGATCACTATGTAATCCTAAATGAATCTTTCTTGGTCTATCTTAACCAAACTTATCCAAACAAGGTTAATCCTAACCTAGTTGACCCTTCACATAGCACACACTAATATAATGAAGGTGTATTACCGCCTTGCCTCCTGAGTGTACTGACGTGTACTGTACATAGTTTAGCGTTGTGCTGTGACCATTACTGTGCTTATCTCACTACTCCACTTATGTACATTTCTCAGCGAGGATAAGTTGTACTACAGTATAATTAGTAATACACTTAAAATGATTAGTTCACCTTGTAGATATATCATTGGTGTATTAGGAAGGCTTCATCACCGTGTATATAGACAGATTAGATCAACTACCCTCTTATGGCCACTAAGGTTACCGTGTGGGTTCCTCAGCCTCTCCATTATAGTGCCTTAACCTCGTCAGGTGGTACACGTAAACAACCAAGGTAGGAGGGAGACACCAGATCCACACAGGTTCCTACCATAAATATTCTCCGTAACTGAAGACCGGAGAATAAATAAATCTGATTGGGTTATGATATTAACAAGGCGTCAAAGAATAACATACAATTACACTGAGTGAGTCTCATAGGCCTGACTGCCCGTTACAACACACTGTATACTAAACACTCGGTACGTAAGGAGACACTGTACTCGACCGCCTTCAGCTTCCCAACTTGTAAACTTAGGTACCCATTTACAGTTGGGTGGATTGGTAGTGCCCCGGGATCGAACCAGTGATCATGAGAACAAGACGAAAGCACTTTATTGACACATCTGCAGCATCATAAGTTTACTGAGACCACCTTAACTATATGCGCTCTACCTGACTTCCTCTGGTCTGTCTGTAGAAACCTCACCGTAGTTTTATGCAATTTTTCTTAGTTTGTTTTGTATTTTTACACCTTCAATTATGAGAAACAGTCATTGTATAACGTTTGTTAATGTTCACACTTATTTGTCCAATACTGTACTGTGTCCGTGGATATTTTCCAGTGAGTTCATGAGCTTGTTTCGTTGTGGTGTTTTTGTTTATTGTCGTGTAAGTGAAGCTTTGGACTGGTGTGTTGCCTGAACATAATAATCGTGCAGCCATACCTGATCTATGTTACAGCATCACACCTGGACATGGCTACAAAAACATGCATATGAAGGTAACTGACAGTTTCTTGTACCCATGGGAGCCTTACCTTGTACATTATAGTATTATTACGCTTTGAAAGGCAAATAAGTTGCACTTTGTGTTATCTGCGAGCAATGGCCGGCGCTTGAATTCTTCGAATCATTTAGTGCCCCTGGGATATGATTTCCCCTGAGTGCAGCGCTGCTTCATCGTGACTGAACTTATGATATTTCGATAGCCTGATGAAAGCGGTAAGATGGAAGAATAAAATGAAGATTATTATTGTCTCTGTTGTGATTCTTTATGTTTTGCAGGTATCAAAAAATCTTTATTAAGACACACAATCAAAAATTATCTTTAAAATGTTGTGTTTGACAATATGACAAAAAACGAACGAATGATTTTGGCAAACCCACAACAGGAGTCTGAGTGTTCACCTTGCAATACATCAGACCCCTCCGTGAAGAGTGGAAACCCGAAGAGCCCTCCAGGAGTGTCGAGAACATAGTAGTATATGAACCACCCACGACAGCTCACACAGGAAGACTCAATAAAGGAAGTCTGGTGAGAAAATCTTGAAGACAAACTTTGGGGAGCATCTAAAGCCAATAGGAACACAACAACGTTCACCGCAGTTATCGAGAGAATTGACCGGGAGAAAAAAACGGAAATTATCAATAAAACAGCTAAAGCCACAAGAAGGAAAAAAACACACACTACCTCTACAGTGAAACCTCCATATAACGAACTTTTCTCTTCATATAATCCGTTAGAATGGGGGTGGTGGGGGGTACCTAACCGACCTTCTGTATAACGAAATTTCATCTCTTATTATAGTTCGTTAGATTGAATTTTTATATCTAACCGACCGACACTCTATATAACGGACTTTCCTCTCTATATAGTCCGTTAAATAGAGGATTCACTGTATTGAGAATAATCAACATCTTTTGAGAAGTTGTTAAACATATCACGTCATGATTTAAGGGTAACTGAGGTGAAGACTCTGTGTTTGGTGGAGGCGCGTTGCTGGGTGAGTTTGGGTCTTGGGAGGAAGTTGATGGAGGGGGGGGGGATGGGAGAGGGAAGAAGTGGAAGGGAGGGGAGGGATGGGAGAGGGAAGAAGTGGAAGGGAGGGGGATGGAGAGGGAAGAAGTGGAAGGGAGGGGGGGAATGGAGAGGGAAGAAGGGAAGGAGGAGGGGAGGGAGAAGGTTAGGGAAGAACTGACTCATAACACGTAGCAGGCACAGTCTATAAACAAATGTGTCTACCCTCAGCTATACATATTTTATTTTGATATGTATGTTGAGTATTATGTATGATATAAGTTGGGTAGTATGTATGATAAAGGAGAGAGAGAGAGAGAGAGACAGACAGACAGACAGACAGACAGACAGGGTGAGCCACAAACAAGACTAACCCGCACCAACGCGTCAAAAAAATACGCTCGAAAAGGAGGCAGAATGAGAAGAGTGATCCTCGTGGTACAATTGGTGAAGCCCTTCCGGGTTGTTTATGGTGGAGCCCGGCCAAATTGCCCCCCCCCCCTAACACTGCTGGCTGACAGGGCTTCTCTACTCGACCGCCCGCCTGCACCTGTCGTCTGCCTGCCTACCTGCCCCTGCCACCTGCCCCTGTCGCCTTCCTGCACCTTCCCTGCCTGTCTGGTCTGTCTGTTCCTCTGCCTTCTTGCCCCTGCCACCCGCTTGCCTGTCACTGCCTCAGCCACCTCCAGCCCCCTGCCCCTCTGCCCCTGACCCCCGCCTGCCTCGACATTCCCTAACACGACCAACCCTTCCTTACCACCAACCTCACCATGTTATGACTTATACCCGTCTCATGTTATGAACCTTCCCTTAACTACTCCTCACATTCGCACCACCTTCCCTGCCACGCCTTCATCCTCTAGCACACACCTTCCATATGTGTTTATCCATGACATAAACCTCACCAAATCTCAATTAAAAGTCAAATATATAATAATTCCACATAGTTTTCCAGTGTTAGTGTTGATAATTTTAATGTATTGGGTAAAGCCTGACAACAATTGTGGGGTTTAGTGTAGCTCAAGCCTATATGTAAAGAGCGGGCCAAAGATTCTGCAGGACTCCACCTCTCAGGCTGTGACATCATCAGAGGGAGTTTACCTAGTAGGTATGAATAATGACTGTTCACCGCCCAACACTGAGAAATATCCGTTGTCTTCACGTCATCATGCGGAAGGAGTTAACTTAACCCCACCTACCCATACTAACCCAACTCTACATCTCGGTGATTGGAGGACAAACCTAACCTAACCTAACCATTCATCGTTGTTATTTTAACTACCTCAGTGAGGACAGCAATACAATAACACAACAATACTACTAATAATAACAATAGTAATGGCAACTCGGTTATATTAATAATAAAATAATAATAATAACTGTGTGTGTGTGTGTGTGTGTGTGTGTGTGTGTGTGTGTGTGTGTGTGTGTGTGTGTGTGTGTGTGTGTGTGTGTGTGTGTGTGTGTGTGTGTGTGTGTGTGTTCCCTTCACTAACAACTGGCACACTTTTATTGTTTTTGTCGACCAAACTTATCTTGTGGTGTTGTGGCAGAGACGCCGAGGCCAAGTGTGTGTTCCCTCTTCTCCTGTAGTAAAAACTTTGGTTCTTGTGGTAGACAGCTGGGCTAACTCACGTACTAGTACACTCTTGGACAAAATTCTCTGGACATTTGACAGTATCTGGTATGTAAGTACTTGATGGTGATCAGGTGATGGGGGAATTTTCTCAGGTTTTTATTTGTATTATGGAGTGTTTTTATGTGGTCCAGACTTAATGTGTAATGAAAAGCCGCGTTATTAGATGCCAGATATTACCAAGTGTTCAGGGAATTTTGTCCAAGGTTGTACACATCCGCAGAACGAATCATGTGTGAATAATGCTTTGTACAGTCTTGGATTGTGTACATATCAGCTGTAACCTTTTTCGATAATATTTTCATCTAACTCTACAGTATATTAAACAACCTAACTTGGAACTAAGTCTAAATGACGTCACAGTGAACTTGGCAGCAATAAAAATTTGAGAGGAGTGTGATCGCACTGTACTCAACAACCTTCACTTTCCCAACTGTAAAAGGAGATTCCCCTTCACAGCTGAGGTAAAATGGGGACACCCTCTGCGTGAACCGGTGACTCTTAAGGACAGGATGCGAGCACTATATCCACTTGGCTGCCGCACCCCTTGATTTTGTGCACACGGCTAAAATGACATCGAAATTACTCTTAGACGCGACCGTAATTAGAGGCGGACTTATTCATAGCTAACAGCCAAAAAAAAAAAAAAAATTAGGAATCTCTTACAATCTTGGCCGTTTATATGAAGTACATACAGTATATGTTGATGAGGGCATTTCATGTTATACAAGGCGTTACGACATTTTCTTTAACCAACATATAACAATGACAATGAACTCTTGGAGGGAGGGTGTCACGGGGTGTTATGGGGCGTCATGGGGTGTCACGGAGTGTTATAGGGCGTCATGGGGTGTCACGGAGTTATAAGAAGTAAAATATATTGATGGGGAGGAGTTCCTCTTGACCCACACACTGTTAGGGTGGGGGTAGGGAGAAACACAATTCAGGTGAGTTTGGGTGTGGGGGTGTCTGGTTCCCTCCCTCTTTCCTTTCCATTCTCCCTCGCCATCCTCCCTTCCTCCTTACACCCTATACTTCTTCATTCGTTGACCCTTAAAATGGTTCAATATACTTCCATCATTAAAAGCAGATTTTTAGTGGATGAGGCTGTGTATGTTAAGGAAGGGTACATACACACACACACACACACACACACACACACACACACACACACACAGCAGTAGGAGGGAGACAGGAGAGCGGTGGGCTGTGTTTATTCTGGGTGTGTTCCTTATTTCCGTAGTGACTGCCTCGACCCCCGCCTCCTTATTAAATTGAAGAGGGCGTAGGGGGGGGCGCTGACCCCACCTTTATTGTATTTCCACATGAATTGGTGCAGGCGTTGAACGGAAGAGGGGTCGGTGGGTTAGACGCAGGGGTGGTTAGTTAAGGGCAGGGATGGTTGGTTAGGGCCAGGGGTGGTGAGTTAGGGGCAGGGGTGGCGAGTTAGGGGCAAGGGTGGTTAGTTAGGGCCAGGGGTGGTGAGTTAGGGGCAGGGATGGTTGGTTAGGGGCAGGGGTGGTTAGTTAGGGGCCAGGGTGGTGGTTAGGGCAGGATGGTGGGTTAGGGCAGGGATGGTTAGGCAGGTATAGTTGAAATAGGTGTGGCAGTTAGGGCCAGGTGGGTTAGGGGCAGGGGTGAGTTGTATGGGGCAGGGGTGGTTAGTTAGGGGTGTGGTGGAGTTAGGGGCAGGGATGGCTGGTTAGGCAGGGGCAGGAGTTAGGGGCAGGGGTGGTTAGTTAGGGGCAGTGGGTAGGTTAAGTTAGCTAGGGGTATTAGTTAGGGCCAGGGGTGTGTTAAGAAATAGGGGTGGCTAGTTAGGGCAGGGGTGGTGAGTTGGGGGCAGGGATGGTTAGGGCAGGGGTGGCTAGGAGCTTGTGTGGTGAGTTAGGGGCAGGGATATTAGCAGGTGGCGAAGTTAGCTAGGGTGCAGGAGTTAGGGGCAGGGGTGGTGGGAGTTAGGGCAGGGGGTGGTGTTAGGGAGTGGTGGCAGTTAGGGCCGGGGGTGGTTAGTTAGGGGCAGGGGTGGTTAGTTAGGGGCAGGGGTGGTTAGTTAGGGGCAGGGGTGGTTAGTTTTTTTTTACGGGGATTTGCCCACTCAGGCACAGGTAATGACCCACATCAGGGTCTGGGGGGCGAAAATATAATAAAATATAATAATTATAATAATAATAATATATATTATTATTACTGTATTATTACAACAATTAATAAAAATAAAAATAAAATAATAAAAATATTAATAATAATTACCATAAATAAATACAAAAACGAAAAAAAATATATATCAAGAGTGAGAAGCGCTATATGTATGTTGTGTTGTCAATAGTAAGAGAAACAATTGAGACCCTGCAATTGTGTGTAAATGAGGCAGAAAGTCAGTTCAGCAACCTGGGACTTGGTCACAATTGTTGTGATGCCATATAGCAGCAGGGCCTACCATTAGACAACACATTATGCTTCCAATATCTTCCCAGGCGGCAGTACCTCCCTGTTTGGTAGCTGCCTACTACCTACCTACTACCAATGCTACTGTCATAAGTCCATACGCGGGAAACCCAATAAACTATCAATACCTCAGTAGCCAAGAATACGAACCCAGGACCTCCCAGTGGGAACTGTAAGAGTTAACCACTGCACCACAGTGACTCTTATAAAGGATAATATAGACTGTTTACACAAATCCTGCCCTTCTGCCTTTTTAAGCATCGAGAAGTAATTTAGTCAGGTTGAGAAACACTCTTGTTTTACGCTGCTCTCCTCATACCTCCCACGCCGCCTCCTGCTGCCACTCCTTCAGTCTACACGCTGTATTTTTTTTATTTTTTTGAGGTGGAGGAAGTTATCGTAGACTACCACAGTGTGTGTGTGTGAGGGGAAC